ATTCTCCCATACCATGCGCAGAAAATCTTGTGACATAAATTGCACTGAGATCTGCAGCGTAATGGTCAAAGACCATGGTCAAAGGTTGTGTAAAATCATAAATCTACAGTTCGACAGCTACTGATGTTAATGAACAATTTTAATTCTTTTATATGTATACATTTCAGAATTATCTGGTGGATGAAACCATGACATTTTATGGAACTGTGCTTTTAAAGAAAAACTAGACTGGCAGGTTCTACATAACTGTCCGGTTTATTTGTGTTCATCTTTTGATTAAACTCTTAACCAAAGTTTACTGAAATCAGAATGCCTGTCTATCGTAAACTATTTCTATCAGAAGACTATTCAGTATTTTTATGCCCCCAACCATGAAATGGTCAGGCATATAGTGTATATCATTTTGTTTTCATTCCATCACAGTAAGCTTTTTTGTTGGGTATACAAATGAGTTGCTTTGTAATATGTGTCTTTATTTTGCTGATTGAGAAATAAAGACTTGATGGTTTTGTTTTTAGTTCATCTCAGCTGAAAGCTCAATTGAGCTTTTCTGATCACCAATTGTCCGTCCGACCATTTAGCTGTCCATCCATCTGTCTGTAAACATTTCACATTTTCAACTTCCCAAGAACTACTAGGCTGATTTTAAGCAGAGTTGGTACAAAGCATTCTTGGGTAAAGTGAAGTTTAAATCGTTAAAATGAAGAGCCAAGCCCCCTTACAAGGGGAGATAATCAAGAGAAGACAAAAATAGGGTGGGGTCATTAAAAATTCTCAAGAACCACTTGGCCAGAAAAGCCGAAACTTAAATGGAAGCATACTGGGATAGTGTAAATTCTAAATTGTTTGAATCATGACCCCCTGGGATAGGATGGGGCCTCCATGGGTGGTCAAAGTCTTGCATGGTATATATAGAAAAAATCATCAATAATCTTCTCAAGAACAACAAAAGATTAGTCATTTATATTGCAGCATCCACAGGTAATGTGGATTCAAGTTGATTTAAAACATGACCCTGGGGTAGGGTGTGGCCACTATGCTTGATCAAAGTTTTACATGGGTATAAATAAGAAAAATCTTCAAAACGGAAATCAATTTCACATGGAAGCAAATTCTTTTCAATGAATTGTTTAAGACAATTAAGCACTTTAAAGTGACCATTCTCTTCGACTTTTCATCATTTGCCCTTAGATGTGGTATCTTAAGTTTATTGGATCATGATATTATTAGCTCTTCTGAGCAGAAGGCTTCAAAGAGCTAATGCTATGGCAATTTGTGCAGTGTCCATCAACTTTTAGGAATATGGGCCATAACTCAAGAACCCCTTGACCAATTTTTGTCAAATTGTCAGAGTATCTCTGGTCAATTGGCTCTCATTTATACTAAAAACAGGGTTGTGACCCTTAAGCAAGGGAAGATAATTGGGAAAATGATATAAAAAGTACAGGTTGCTAAAAAAAAATCTTCTCAAGAAGCAGGGGGCAGATTATCACAAAACTTGCGTACAAGAATGAGGATATGTTGTAGATTATGTTTTGTCAAAACTTTGATATTTTGCTTCCTATAAGGCAAAGGGTCATCAAGTCTTGTCAATTGATGCATCTTAGGTTACATATCAAGTTGACTCAAAAGTAGGCCACAGTGACCTACGTTTTTGAATATTTTCAGATACCAATTGGCTTAAAATCAGCAAACTTTGTCAGTTGCTTCATCTTGGGTCCTCAAAATGATTCAATTAAAAAGAAGGTCACAGTGATCTACTTTTGGAATTTCAAGGTAATATTTAAATATTTCAATTAATATAATGCTTTGAATCATCAAGCTTTGTCAGTTGATGCATCTTGTGTTCTCAGAGTGTGTAAACCAAAATGAAGGTAACAATGACCTACTTTTAGAATTTCAAGGTTTTATCTAGATAAATAGAATACTATGAGGCTTCAAATACAAGTGATAGGTATGTTGTACAATTTATCAGGAGAGTGATTCAAGGCCCTTGGTCCTCTTTCTTTAATTTGTCACAATTTATCAGAAGAGTGATTCAAGGCCCTTGGTCCTCTTTCTTTAATTTGTCATTGTATGAGAAATGTCCAGGAGTAGATTACCTCCAAATTCCTTTGGTGGATATATGTCTAGTGATGTATTGATGTTACCTGTATACAAGGCAATATTACAGGTGTGTTGAGGGAAGAACATTTTACCGGGTAGTTGATTTTTCAAACGCATGTACATATTGCAAAGTAAGGCTATATAATTATACAGATATACAAGTGCACTAAATAAAAAGATTTGAAATAAAAGTGACCTTTTATTATAATTTTTGTATGGTGAATAATAATGAAATATATAAAGAGAAAGGTATGAATTGAACAATTAATAATGTTTCTATTGCCACTCATAACTTTGACCTCAAGATTTAGCTTGTAAACTCATTAATTTAACGTTTTCTCAAAATGAGCCCCTTAATTTGCCCCGTTTGTACATTTGTTTCTCCAAAAGCATCTTGGAAAGTAATTTTTAGAGTGCTTGTCTCCCCCATTTGAACATTTATAGTCGACAAGCCACCTACACCATTATAAGTGGGCCCTCCACTTATCCGCACAACTACTGTATAAACGGTGTCTTTAACAAGAAGCAATGGTTTTGGAAATATTACTGGAATTTCTTTGTAGTTCTGAGTTTTCTGCTTAGTTTGGCTTTTTCCTAAAAGCTGGCCATTTCCAGTATAAAGATACATGGAAACCAAAAGACCTGCTTCACATACAGTCTCTGTACCGTAAACAAATATTCCTCTTAAATAGAAAGTATCTAAGTTTATAGTGAATGATATCCTGTCCCCATTTAGGGAATTATCAACAACCCATGTAGGATGTAAACTGTGACGTAAAAAGCGATTGATAATTATGTCCTGGTCTGTTATTAGACATCTTATCTTGGAGTGCTGTTCTGGTACTGGTTGTTGTTCAACTGTTGATAAGTACACCATGATCTTCAAAGATAATTCATTGTCAATTATGCCTTTATTAACAATATTTTCCAAAAAAAAGTCCATTGACATCATTCCGAACCTTAGAAAGGGACTTATGTCATGCCAGGTGTGGGGAATGTCTTCTTCTTTAACTTTTTTAGTCCAAAGATTGATGTGATTGAATAGAAGTTCCTCATGTATGCATAGACTGTCTCTTTTAACAATATTCAAGAGTAATTCCAGAGGAATTTCTTGGAATTCTTCAGTAGTTATACTTAATAATACTTCTTCAATGTGTTTGTCTAAAAATTCAAGGCCTTTGTTTTTGATATCCGTTATGCTGTTTTCATGAGAAATAGTTAAAATTTTAAGAACAGTATTTTTTGATATGTTTTGTTCTAAGAATATGCAACATTTTTCCATAAGTTCAGTAACACTATAATAGTCAGCAATCTGGTAAATCTCTTCTACATTATCTAAAGTAATGTGTATTTCAGAAGTGTACAAGAACTCTAACATTTCCTTTGTATGTTGAATAGAATGAACATCACACTGAATTATGTTTGATTCATCACTGGGATGATTCCACTTTCCACAAAGCCGGGCCTCAAACCATTTTGATCCAAGAATTAATACAATTTTATGGGCTTCAATGATGGAATTATCTTGAAGCTTTAACTTTACGTCACAAAGTCTCTGGTCTCTGAAGGCTTGTATTAACTTTCTCCCAAGAACTGACATTTGTGTAGTCTGAAATACGAAATAGCTTCATATATTATGACAAAATGACTATGCTTAGGTCACAATGGTTAATGGAAAGTCACCTTGGCCTCATCTTACAATGTGTATACACCGATTACCCGGTAGATGTTTATAGGAACATACAAACAAAGTAGGATTCATTGCCTGATCTAACAAATGTGTCTGAAAAAAACGTGTACATGAATTACATATAGAAGTGATGTTAAATTCATATGAATGTAAGGCAATTGTACAATAAATTTATAAAAGCTAGTTATCTTTAATCTTTCCTTCACTGTTACTTGAAGTTTTGCCAGTACATATAACAGTAACATATAACTTTAATAGTTTGACCCTCGATCTTCCAACCTCTTAACTTATCCAAAGAGGGGGACCAGTGTATAAGTTTGATGACGATCAATCAAAAGATTCTCAAGATACTCTTGGCTGTAAGAACCGGGCCGGTTCCCCCCCACCCCCAATAATTTTGTCAATATATAGAATACACTGTACTATAGAAAATATACATGTAGCTACTATATGCTTGTGCCCCCTCAATAATAATGTCCGATGACCTTTTTTTTTGCTTGTCAAGGAATTTTGGTAGTTGATAGTGCCCCCCAACTGAAAATGTATGGTTGTGCCCCTTCAAAGTGAAATTGCTTCCTACGGGCCTGATACTGATCAGACCAACTGACTGCTTAAAATGGCATGCCCTCTTTTTTCAAGCAACACAAATATACAAGTCTTTCAATGAGGATTCAAACAAACAAATATCATTACATATTTACTTCATATATTTAATTAAACATATATAATGTACAAGTATATACACAGGGCTATTAAAGAATCACGATGAAGACTATAAACTTAAATAACAAAACACATATTAAGTATGAAAGCCCTAGCACCAACTGTTCAAAAGTTATGGCCAAGGTTAAAGTTTGGCAATTTTTTGTAAAAGTGGGTCACACTACAAGGTCAAGGTCATGAGGTCAAATTTGGTGGTACCCAAAGAAAGATTTTGTCACAAGGAATACACCTGTGAAATATGAAATTTTTGATTTTGGGGGCATAAAGAGTCAAATAAATACAATATTGTTCAAATATATATGAAGTAAGAGTGGTTCATTCTAAATTTCCTCATTATACTAAAAGCTTTAATCAATACATTTCAGTGTGTTTTATGGTGGGCCTATAGATAAGGTGTGAAAAGCTTATTTTAACTCTCCCCTCTAAAAAATATTGCTGAGAAATTCAGTTAATTATGCACATTCACTTCTTTCATCCTTGATGGAAATGAAAACAGAGCATCCTTGAAGTACAATAAGTATAACATAATACATCAGGTATCAAAAAAATATTGCTAACATAAAGAGAAAATATCAATGAATGAAATTGATATTCTAAAGTTAAAAAAAAAAAGATAAGGGGGCATATATCTGTAGTATTTCTGGATTTTGAACAAAGTATTTCTTCCTGCTATAAGCCAGTACATGTAACTATCTGACAGTAGAAACTATTACATAACTGGAATTTTTACTGCAGTTGTGACATTACATTGTTACATGATCTACCTTCATACATACATTCATACATATAATGATATTTCATATATCAAGTCAATAAAAGAGACATAAACTCGCTTAGAAAAATGTACAGATGGCGAGCACAAGTCATGTCAGTTATGTTGACTGGGAAAGGCAAATTATAATGGCTCAATATAGATGAGGCTACGGAAGCAAAATCCTCGTCAATCTCCTTGAAATTATTTCTGACAAGTCTCTGTAACTCAGTCACAACGTTTCTCTGAACAGGATGTAAGTAGTTTGAAGCACCTGAAAAATGAGTAAAATAATTAAGATTGTTGGAGCTAAAACAGTTGTGAAATATTTTATAACACATGCATATGATACATTTTCAATCATTTTTGTGTGCTTTTGGTACATAAAGACGAGAAACCAATGAATATACAATGAATACCTGTCATGTATGTGCTTCCTTTTCTATAACATTTAGCAGAGAGTAGCATCTGCTAAATCATGTATATAGCTAAATGTTTTCATGTATATATTTAAAATAAGCATTTCCTGGAATGTGCTAAATTAATTCTACACTTACATAATAAACTAGAAGTGTTTGTGAAACACTGATGCCACAGATAATTTTACTGGTTTAGCTAATAATTTACTCATACCAACAACTTCAGGATTTTGAAACAATACTTCTGGAATTCCATGCAGGGTATCTCCCAGCTTCTGTCTTCGTATGGAATGAGTATTCCATTGGTCCATTATACCTTTTAGATCTCTCTTTATCAGTGGAAGATAAACAAATTGTATACAGGATCTAAAAAATGCAGTTGATATATGTAAATATACCGGTATTTAGACTGTTAGTAGCAACAACTTTATTTGCAATTCATTTGTTTGAAATAATAAGGTATGCAAGTGGCCCTGGACAAATCCTCTCATCTGAGTCATGCTGTCACATGAATATTCAAAAAGACTCCCTCCCACACTTGATCAATTTCAGTTATAAGGCTATATACCAAGGTACATGTACATGCTAACGTACATGTAGGTGCACTAAGTCAGAGTGTTATTTTAGAAACTATAGTGTTGTTCTTCTAACATTCCCACAATGTAATAAGCGAAAATCAAAATTTCATGTTCCCATTGAATGTAGCTGTTGCAATGGCTCTTCCATTAATTGTTACTTAATACCCAAAGAATAATAGTTTTGAAATATGAGTCATGTTTGCAGGCAAGACTGGGAGTTATAAAATGTAAATATAAGCATTAATTGAATCATTATTTTTTAAAAAATGAAGTCTCGTAAGTCCAACAGTGTGTGCAAACAAATTTTCATAATGTGCTACCACAATTACAAGTTACTCTATTTGTTTACCATGTTTAAACACACTATTGCAGTTAGGAGACTACATCTTTCAAGAAATAATAAATGAATGCTTTAATATAGCAGTTTCTTTTCAAAGCATAAAAAATGCTACCATAATTTCTTTTGTAAGTACAAATGACATAATATTTTTATCCTCCATGTTACAGTCTATATTTTGTTACCATTTACAGAGATATAGACGACACTTTATTATCAATGACAGGGTATCATTCTTATCCAAGACAAAATAAATAGACATGTACATCTAATATTTCTTTTCAACGAGGTTCATCTGAACTCCTTTTTCATCTATACATACTTATGTAGAGGATTTCCTATTTCCAGCAGTTCTTCATACACCAATCCCTAATAATAAATTCCCAAGATATATTTTCATATTTTTTTATATTTACTATGGCCATGCATATTACCATAAAGGAAGTACATGCATAGTTAAAGCTGAACACGCTTCGTAAAAAGAATGCGTCCGACATATTCGATTGGACTCGGGCTGTATCTGAGGGCCCCTATATATAGAGCCGCTCACTTGGTCACTGTTCAATGTAATCAATCGTCATCGGTGTAGACGGACGTATGCTATACAGCACTTGGTAGCGACAAAATAACTGTGTGCTTCTTCTAAATAATGCAGGAGAGTAAGATACCAAAGAGATTTACAACAGTTACACAGGTCAGCGCAGTATACAAACAAACACAAATATACGTAACTGCAATAAAATGTAAACAAAGGGAACGCATGATAACCAGCACAAACATGGGTCGCCATTCCACACCGATACCCATGACAATAAAGCAGTCACGTGTAACGAATCCGAAGAGTATACCCTGGTGCTGATATCTAAGATAGTAATATCGGAAATGGCGTATGCCTATTTACGAGTCGTGTTCAGCTTTAACACACTGTAAAATGTAACTTTTGTCAGTAAAATACTTGTTTTCCAAAATAAATTAAGAGAAACATTTTTGTAATATTTCAGATGTGGCAATAACTTACTTTGAAATGATCCATCCAGAAATCTGCTTTCATTAGCCTTAAAATGCCCCAAAATCTTTCAATTCTCTACAATTAATGTTTGTAAAAAACGTTATTAAAACTTGGACATATGATTTTCTTTCCAGAAAATGTTATCTGTGTGTGTTTTGGGTGTGTGGAGCTATTTAAAACATGTACAATGCTAACCTGATTTGCAGTCGAAGTTCCAAAAGACACTGCACTTGGATCTGTCTTAAGAAATGTTTGGAATGTTGCGATGATCCCATTTTCTGTGCCAGGATCAGCTCTTATCTTTTGAGGACAACCTTAAAAGACAAACTATGATGTTATCAATATAATTATGCCTTCCCTTCTAATTCATAACAAGTATTTTGAAATTTTGGTGGCTTAATTTCAGAAATCAATTGACATTTCTTGAAGCACACTTGCAATTGTAACTTGTCATTAAACATAGTACCCGGTGATTCTGTCACTATACCTTTCATAGTATGAACTGCATTCAGGAAGTATTCTGCTACAACCTCCGGTCTTTTATTAGTCACATCTGCTTCCAGCCATATCAACTGTCTGGAAAATCTTTCAAAATAAATTGAAAATACAGAAGTGGTACAATCTTAGAAAGACACTATATTTTTCTCTTATATATATGCAAAATAAGAAATTAGATTTTGTAGTTGAAAGTTTTCCATTTATGTGAATGTTGTTGATCCCATCAATAATTTAAAACAACATCTGCAATACAGCAGATTAAACAAATAAATTCAAGCCTTTCTCATGAAAGTAAATATACCAGATTTTTAAAACCCTTAACCTATTAAAAAGTGTGATGGAAGAACATGATGGAAGGATGGAAAGACAGAAGTTGGAAAGAGCAAAGTACGGAATGCAGACATGGCAAATGATAATTATATGTTTTGGCCATATTCATGGTGGGGCATAAAAATGTCAGATATGAAATGCTTCTATTTGAACATGACTAATCATCGGCAGTGGCAGATTTAGAGGGGGCCTGGGCCCCCCTTTTGTGTCAAAATATCCATAAGATTTAAGAAATCATATTTTTTTGGGTGTGGCTGTGGGCCTCTACCCCAACCCCAAACTGGTCAGCACCCCCCTCCTTTTCCAAGATACCTGGATCCGCCACTGATTGGCTCTGCTGCTTTCCTTCAAAAGATTTTTTTTATATATATTTATCTATGGTAATATATTTTCCTATGTAAAACTTTGAATGATCCCCTATTGTTGTCCCACCATAACCCTAGAGACAACTAGAGATAACAAGAAGTCTGTGAGCCAGTGCTCACTAATAATACCCCCGCTCTGTTGTGAATACACAAGTTCAGTTATGGACAGACACAGTAATAATCTGGAAATTGACATCGATTTGTACAAAAATGATTCGCAACATAAAGCATGCCTAAACAATGAGCGAGTTAAAATTTCAAGCATCTGCGATGAGTAGTTGCTGAGAAAACTGCGACCAAAATTTCTTATGTATGGTACGGACAGACGCACGGATAAACAAGAAGTTGACATCAGATTCGTATAAAAATGAATCCCACCACATGGCATGCCTAAACAAAGAGTGTGCTAAATTTTCAAGCATCCGCAATGAGTAGTTGCTGAGAAAACTGCGACCAAAATTTGTTACGGACAGACAGACAGACGGACAGACACACAAGGGTAAAACAGTATACCCCTCTCCTTTGGAGTGGGGGTATAATAATTGAAAAAAAAATGAATATACACTATGTCAGGAAACTTTTACATCTGGTCCAGTGGTTCTTGAGAGGAAGTTTTTTTTTTAATTCACTATATTTTCAACTGATCCTTGTACAAGAGCATGCTTCATTTGGAAGAAAAAAAACCCTCACCCAAGGATGCTTTGTGGCAAGTCTGGTTAAAATTGGTCCAGGGTTCTGAGAAATATGAAATGCTAAATGCATACTGACAGACAAGCAGACAGATGGACAGAATTCAATTAGAAAACCACATTTGAGCTTTTAAAAAAATATTTAAAATTTTGATGGTTTCCTTTTGTATCTAAGTAAAATATTTGATTTCAGAAATTATTATACTTTTATGAGAAATCCATGTAGAACTAACATAAAATCAAACCACGCCAAAAAATCTTTTTAATTGAAAAGAAAATGCTTCAAAAACAATATGTCCACAATTATACAGTCCAAAAGAATATTAAAAGTTTTAGACATGAAACTACGAAAATCACATGAAATTACTTTTTAAAAAAAAAAAAAAAATAACTTAACATATTGTATTTGAATACATTGATCATTAGTGTGGAATGTTTAAATTAATCAAGCAAAACAACAAATCATACCCATCAATGCAACCATGAATGCTTATACCATATGGCTTTAGTTTGTCATATCCATCTATAAATGCAGTTTCATGTTTGGAATTACAGTTTAATTTCTGCTTGCAGGTGTCTCATAAGAAGTTTAGACATTTGATATATTTGTTTAATTTTAAAGCATTTCAAACCTATTTCAAATATCTTTTCTTGAAATTACTGACATTTAGGACAGATATCTACTATAAAATAAATGATATGTTTGTAAAACACTGATGCCCCAATCTCAACCAAGCCTTGGAGTGTCCATCTCCATCCTTAGAAGCATCATCCATGCTAATTTAGTTAAAGTATGGCTAAAATTCACTCATCTGGAAAATATAGGGCAAATCCAGCATTTGAAGCAGAAAGGGTAGTGTACATCCCAGCATCATCCATGCAAGTTTGATCCAAGTAGGGCTTATAGTAACATGGACATGTATAGGAATGAAGCTGCTTCAAAAACATTAACCTGGTCAATCATCTGAAAAATGTAAGTAAAATCCAGCATCTGAAGCAAGTGTGGTAGTGTCCATCCCTAGATGCATCATTTCTGCAAGTTTGGTCCAGGTAGGGCTTATAGTTTCCAAATGGACTTGCTCCTAACACTTTTACAGGGATGTGACGCTAACACCCACACCAACAGTATAGCATAAGCTCATCTCGACATCATCGGGGTGAGCTAAAAATAAATTACACAACCTACTTTTCATCTTATCAAATTGTAAAAGTTACATAAATAAATAAATAACAGGATTGATTTCAACTCTTCATTCATGAGCCAAAAGAAGGCAATATTACACTTACCCAAATGCCAAACAAAATTTGGACCCTATAAATACACATTGTACAAATATGGTATAAATAATTGTCCCTGACTTTCATATTCTGTACAGCAGGAAATTAGCTCACGGAAATAATATTTGCAGAAATAAGAACCCCTCAATTTCATATAGTGAATAATTCTTTAAAAATAATGATAAGTTGAAATATTACCATTATCTGTGGTTAGATTCTTTAATTCTCTCCGTGTTTCATTGCAAACATAAAAGCAGTATTTAATATAGCGGAGAAACTGATGTAGACCGTCTTGCTAATAATGAAGGTTTATGGATCAGTTTAATCACTTACATGTAGTTGTTCGTGATTTTGAAGCTTAATTTAATTAATGATTAATTAATAAATATAATTCTATAACTTATATTTAATAGTGCCACCCAAAAGACGTGCAAGGTAATTATCCACGAAACACACAGAGTTAACCTTGACATGTGCTTATTACTTATTCTTATTACCTTTAATTGAGGCACTTACGTAGTAAAAACGAAGGTTACACATTTATTTAGTTATACTAACAGTTCAACATAACTACTAATAGAAGGGAAAGGAAAAAAAACAAGGGAAAAAATTAAAATCATCAGGATGCGTGACAACGCTTTGACATCAAATTGGTATTAATCTGACATTTCGTTATATTTAATCGGGTTCAGAAACGACATGACATAATACGCAAGGAAAATACTTGCAGTGCTGAATTAATAACATTTCCTTTCTGCAAATTCAAACAACCCCGATTTACTACAAATTTAAAAAATTGCGATTTTAACCTGCTGTACAGTACATGTACAAGGTATATTTCACTTTTTTTCTTGCATAATTATTTTTCAAGCTTTGAAGTGTTGAATTTTGTCACATTTATGAAATTAATACATTAATAAATACTGAGATGATCAATGTTTCATAATTTTTCTTTCAGTCTTCGGTCTATACCTTACTAAAGTATTGCCTTCTTCTCAGTCTTCTCTGCTTCCTTCTCTTTATCCCATCTTCATCCAAAAGACGAACTATATCTCTTGCTATGGACCTGTATCATTAAACATTTATTTTGTTTAATGTATTAAAATTTTACAATTATTGTCTATTTTTGAGGGCAAACATTATGACTTTTGAGCCCAAGAGAACCACTACCAACCAAGGCTCAGCCAGTCTTAACAATGGTTTTTGAAGGGTGAAATTTTTCAATACAACTCTCAACTGAAAGACCAAAATATTTGTTATACCCGGGTATTTTACTGAATGGTTCATGAAATATAATTATACATGCTTATAGATTCCATGCAGTCAGCAATTTTTGGGAACATGACTCATCATTTTTAATGCTAACTGTTGCTACATTCTGTTGCATTGGATGGGCATGGTTTAATCAGTCATTGGAATATAGTGTTTTTTATCAAATGTTTCTCAATGAATCAGATTCAACTAATTTACATGAAAGTATAACATCAAAATATTTGCATGTTTGGATGTATTTAATCATGGATGGAGGAATGGACTGACTTTGATTATATACTTACCTGGTAATATTCAGCTGGTGTTTCATTTTTATAATTCTTCTTAGACTTTCAGCACCTGAACATCCATTCAGTATTTCTCTCTACAGAATATTGTAAATTGCATGTATAAGGTTTGCTCTATACAACTTTATATGTATTCTAATTAATATATGCAAGTTTTAGCATAATTTTCCGAATTTAATAGTACACTTTTTCTCCTTAAATACATGTACATGTGTAATGTATGTAATTTTAAATTTTGGCAACAGTGATGATTTAGAGCTGAAAAGACATCAGGGATATGAATTCCACTAAAATATGTCAAATTCCACACATCTTTCATACATATACATCCAACAAATAAGTTAATCATTGTGTTCTAAACTTTCATTGAAGAATTACCGGGTACTTAATAGCAGTTAAAAGAACAGAAATATTTAACCTGCACGTGCACCTTTATATTTATGAATTTTCTAAGAAATAAAATTATTACCTGTGCAATATCAAATATTTCATCAAAAGCAATGTCTGCAAGCCTCCTTTTCAAACCAAGTCTAGGTAGAACTTTCCTTGTTAGGCAATTATAACTGCAAAATATTTTAATCACATAGAAGCATCATCATCGAATGACAATTTATGTATTTGATTAAAAGTCATGATACATAACTAGACTTCCAAAAGTATTTTTTTAAATTTTGTATTATAATACCTTATGTCACAGTTATGGTTTCTCTGGATCAAATAATGGATTAAACGGTAGTTAAAACCCTTATAAAACAATTCTTTTATCTTTTCAAGTATATCTAAAAGAGAAAAAGAAACCTTTTAGCATAAAGTACTGATCATTTTATTATATAATCTACAGTTCAGCTTATACAAGAACATGATCTAGAAGATTTTCCCGATTTTCCCCAGAATAATGAAGTTTAACTGTATATCAAAACAAAACATTGCAAATGTCCATTATTCATAAGATATACACTGCTGATCAGACTAAAGACAATGCTGAAAAGGAACAGCTTATTCTGATAAAGCAATAGCAGAAAAGTAATTTTGAGCCAGGCTCATTGCTCTACTCTTAGAGCAATAATTGCCTTTTTGTCAGGGTGTTCAACTGGATATGCTGCTTCCTCACTGCCAAATCAAATTTACAAGTTTTAAAAAAGTATGTATATGCTCAGACGCTTTTGAGACAATACAACACTAAAATTAAACAAAGTAAAGTAAACTGATAAATTTTCTTAACAAACAAAATTAATGGTAATGTACTTTGGTTTCTCCCATGTGCCATGATGTACCTACGATTTATTAATATGGTTGCATGTATGCAAAAGGTTTTCATCCGGTCCCCCTCAGTGTCTGTAGCACATACTAAAAATAAAGGTAGCATAACCAGGATAACACTAATGCAGGGAGCACGTGACCTGTGGTACACTTTGATGCAGAACTTCCCACTGAGGACTCATCTGAGCATAAACGTTTGTCCAGTGTCCTTGCTGCATCAATGTTTATTTTTGTACATGGTGTAAGACCCCAGAACGATCCATGTGATAAATTCAATGTTCACTATTCTGTAAATGAGCTCTGCTCTCTATACTTCTGAGTACTTTGATTTTAAATGTCACTTACCTTGCCCAATCATCTTCACTTCAGCTTATAATCTTTGTAAAACTACAAATAAGGAATGCAATACATATAACACCCAGTTCACTTCAACAGTATATAACTAAATATACGTTTACAATGTTAATGATAAAAAACTCCTTATACCATATGCTTTACTCTCAGGGTCATTCAGGGTTGCAAATAATTATTAGCCCACTTTCAAAATTTAAGTGTTTTGTCTGAAGGTAAGGGTTGATATTTTCCTAGAAAATTCACTAGCACAAGGGTTACTGATCATTAAAAATTTCTAGCCCAAACCTCAAACTAACTAGCCCAAACCTCAAACTAACTAGCCTAAACCTCAAACTAACTAGCCCAACAATTTTTTAATGCAAAATAAATTAAAACACAACAAAAGTAAAAGTTTCAAATGCTTTGGTAACAGAAACAAATTAAACTAGTTTTCAGTCAAAAGAAACCAGTTTACATACATAGAAAACAGAAATAAAGTCACAAGAATATTTTCTGGTCTGCTAGTCTGGCAGACTATATTTACATTTAAATTAGCTAGCCCTTGAAGTCTTAAAACAATTAGTCCCAGACTTTGGCTACCAATTTCAACCCCTGCTGAAGGCTTCAAACTCTTCAGGATATTATTGCCCACATAGCAAGTAAAAATCTTATTGGAACTTCAAAACATACTGAATCGTGTCATCATTACAAATATCTTAGATTACAAAAACCAAGTGGAAATTTCAAACAAGAGGTATCTAACACCACAGAAAAACAATAGGGCATATAGCTTTTTGGATTATGATAAAAGAGGATCCAAAACTTTTTCTAATCGAAATTGTGGAAATTAATTAAAAATGGAATTTGATTTGAAGTAAAGCAGTATGCATAAGGAGTTTGTTTCTCTTTTCTTTATAATTGTTTTCAACCTTTTAGTTACATTAATGTGGGCCCCAAAGCAACAATACAGGCTAGTAAAACTTGTGAAGTTAGGATCCTACATGACTTCTATACTTTCAGACAAGCAATATCAGTCTTAAAAGACAAGTGTAAAAAGTCATACCTTGTGGGCAATAACACCTTTGTGAGGAGCAACCGTGAGAGAATTAAATCACCCGCATGAAAGAAATTCACGCGCACATGTCTGAATTTCAAAAGTGCGAAGGAAAAATTCGCGAAAAAGAATAAATATACCAGTACACATGCAACTTATTTGGAACTCACCAGGATTTTGACAAAAAGGTTGCATAATGTGTGATAAAAAATTTATCAAATCATATTCCCTCTTGCATAGTCAGCTTAAGAGTTACACAGAGCTCATTTTGTTATATTCCGAATACATACAAAACCTAGTCTTTAAATAATGAACTTGTACTAAATAACTAACTACTTAACATGCTAAACTAGGCTAGGGTTTCATTCCCTGACGAGAAAATTCGAACTAGGGGCCGTTGCAGAAGAAAGTTAGGTTTGAAAGTTCTATACCAGTATGCCTTAACATTTAAGTTTGAAAGTTCTGTACTTTAACATTTAAGCTTAAAACATTGCTGGTGTGGTGTTTACTTCTTACCGTGTTTGTCCTTGCTTGTAACTTTTGTTGTCGAAGTCTGAGATCATGAGACTGTCACTTCAACAGTAAAATCAACTGAACCCACATGTAAGGATCTCTCTCAAATAGACGCTTTGTATCCGTCACGCTAGAAATAATATTTCTTCACGCTCAAGATAATATTTCCTTCACGCTTCAAATAATGTGTGCAAATCTCTCTCACATTAACGCTTGTATCCGTCACGCTAGAAATAATATTTCTCCACGCTCAAGATAATATTTCCTTCACGCTTCAAATAATGTGTAGTCTGTCACAATAATAATCGTGTCTCCCAGCGTTTCAACATAATTATTGTTTCAACAAGGGGGAGTTTTCGTTCCTGTCACTAGAAAAGAAGTTATCTTTCCTGATGAGAAATAAAAATAAAGTTTCTACGAACATATTAAGGCGCACATTATTATTGTTGCAAATATGGTGTGTTTTTTTTTTTGTTTGTTTGTTTTTTTTTTTTTTTTTTTAACGTGCATACATTTTTATTTCCATGAAAATGGCTTTTTTTTAAAATAATTTTCAAACAGTAGTTGTTACAAGTATGCATTCTTATAAATCGTTGAAGTAAACGTAATACAGCTGTAATATGAATCTATAATCTTGGTGCTAAATAAAAAATAATGTACACATCGACCGACAAGATTATAATTATTGCTGTTGGCAAGATTATAGTTGTAAAACATCAGAGGATAAAATTATTATTATTATTGGGCTAAATAAAGATAATTTGTACACATATTATGGTAGTATAGTATGGAAACGTGATAATTGTAATTTTTGCGGGGAAATATAATAATATGTTGTAAAAAAAATATATATATATTTTATTATTTTTTTTTTATTAATTTGTGGTACAATTATAAATATATAGGAATAATAATAATGTGGAGGTACCCAAATTATTATTGTTGCAGAAAAATAATAATGTTGTAAAAAAGCAAGATTTTTGTTTTTGTATGAGATAATTATTTTTGGTATAGTTATATAGGAAAAAATAATAATAATGTGGGGGTACCCTACGGCTTTCCGTAGGTGCTAAATAAAAAATAATATACACATCGACCGACAAGATTATAATTATTGCTGTTGGCAAGATTATAGTTGTAAAACATCAGAGGATAAAATTACTATTATTATTGGGCTAAATAAAGATAATTTGTACACATATTATGGTAGTATAGTATGGAAACGTGATAATTGTAATTTTTGCGGGGAAATATAATAATATGTTGTAAAAAAAAAAAAAAAAAAAAAAAAAAAAAAAATTATTATTTTTTTTTTTTATTAATTTGTGGTACAATTATAAATATATAGGAATAATAATAATGTGGAGGTACCCAAATTATTATTGTTGCAGAAAAATAATAATGTTGTAAAAAAGCAAGATTTTTGTTTTTGTATGAGATCATTATTTTTTGTATAATTATATAGGAAAAAATAATAATAATGTGGGGGTACCCTACGGCTTTCCATAAGGTAGTATAGTATGGAAACGTGATAATTGTAATATTTGCGGGGAAATATAATAATGTTGTAAAAAAAAAAAAAAGCAAAGATTTTTTTTTTATTTTTTTTTTTAATTTATTTTTTTATTATTATTATTATTTTTTTATTAATTTGTGGTACAATTATAAAAATATAGGAATAATAATAATGTGGAGGTACCCAAATTATTATTGTTGCAGAAAAATAATAATGTTGTAAAAAAGCAAGATTTTTATTTTTGTATGAGATCATTATTTTTGGTATAGTTATATAGGAAAAAATAATAATAATGTGGGGGTACCCTACGGCTTTCCATATAAATGACTGATTTTGTGCTATCTTCTGTTGGCTTTATCTAAATTACAAACACAATAAAATAAAAAATGAATGCCATAACCTGAAAGCTGGGAATATGCCCTACATTTTTTATTCCGGACATTATAAAGTACATGCATCTGTTTACAGAGATATTTGTTGTTGAATATTGGAACTTTTTTATGAGTAAATACACAAAATGCACTATGACGTCATTTGACGTTTTACATGCACAATGAAACCGTTCATGAGCTCAGTGTAAAACAAACTGGCTCTTTTGATATATGGAACAAATTTATTTAAAAAAAATGAATTATTTGTAAAGAAGAGTTAATAGACGACACGTTTTGAGCCATAAACAAAATGTAATAAAAGGAATTTTCCATAGCTTTGGGAGATATATTCATGCAGTAATAGTCTTTCACCCAACGCCCCGATTGCGTGCACCCATTGTATCAGAAATCCCTGTCGAATTTTGTGTCAGTCCTACATGTAGTAGAAATAATTAATCAAATAATTAAATACAATCATTGCCATTTTCCTTATCTTCAGATTTATTATTGAAAAATGAAAAAAAAAATCTTTTTTTTAGTACTTGGTGTATTTTGAAAGGAAACTTGCACTTTTATTAAAGCGATAGGATAGATAACGCAGTTATTCTATTTTAATGATTAATAAAAGATGAAAAAAAGTATATCAAAAGTACCACGTCGTACGTCGTAAACATAGCCAAACAAACAGCTGATTGAAATCAGATTGCTAAATTTATAGAAATAATTTCTGAATAAACACACATGAAACTCAGGTTTCTTTGTTCGTGTTAAATTCATTTTTCAGTCTTCACAGAGTTAAGAACAAGTCTATATCAAACTGGATAAAATGGAAAACTTGGGATAAACTAACAAATTCTCCCTCATTGCCTAATCCTTTACAAATTAGCCGGGGTTACAAGTATGTGTATTGAAGAAACTGAAAAGCTGAATCTACTGCTACAACAAAAATAAAACGGAGCAAGTATGTAAAATATTTGCCAGAACATCGTGCGAAAATAGCAAAAGGTGCTATTGAATATAAAAACCGCCATTTTACTATTTTTTAAAAGCTGTGGAGAAATTAAAATGAATTAAAGTACAATCAGAAGTATTCGGAAACTATGCTCTATGATTTTGAAAAAAAAAAAAAACGTGTTTTTTCACTATAGAAATCAACGGAAAATATTTTTAAAACACCCCCCTCTCCTTTTTACAGCATTTTGAATTATTATTTAACAAATTCATACCAAAACTCTTGTTGTTCCTGGGGGTGGGGTGGGGGGTATGTTTACAGATAAATTACATGAGTTAAACATATGGAAAAAATGAAGGATCATTTATCCATGTCTATGAGTATTTTAAAATCTGAGTACTATTTCAAAATCTCTTGGTGTTATAAAGCCTGATTTCAATGGATATACATCTTCTAGACCCCTTATAAAAGGAGTTGTGATTAAGAGCAATGGACAATTTGACACTGGTATTAATAATTTTATACTGTAATTTTTTAATTTACTGGGTGGTATTAAATACAAAAGGCTGGGCCACATCGCTCACCTGAGCTCATTGGCTAGGAAGAAGCAGTAATCAGTTCAGTATTGAAGGGGGAGGGGGGCAAACCTTAATTTAAACTACCTCAGGATTCTTCCATATCAATATCACTAATCATGGCTTTGCTGTTCTTAAAAGAAGAATTTTAAAGACTTCCACCGTCATGGTAGCTCATTCTGTAGAATGCTCGCTCCGTGATCGGAAGGTAAGGGGTTCGAGCCCCGGCCGCAACTGACCTAATTCGATGAAAAATAGGTAGCAACTGTTCCCCCGCAAAGCGCTCGGCACTTTGAAGTGAGAGTTGCGGGTCCTTCAGATGAGACCTTAATGACCGAGGCCCGTGTCACGGCAGGCGTAAACACGATAAAGATCCCCCACTGCTCAATGGCCATGAGTGCCGAGTATAGGTATAAATTTGAAGCCCTTCACAGGTATAAGGTGAAGTCTCTATATGAGTGAAAAATTCTTGTTCGGAACGTAAAACAACAATCAATCAATCCTATGTTTTCCTATGTAAAACTCTGATCTCTCATTGTGGCCCCACACTACCCACCCTAAATTTGAACAAATTTGAATCTACACTACCAAAGGATGCTTCTATAATAATATGACTAATCATGGCTTTGCTGTTCTTGAGGAGATTTTTTTCAAGATGATTCCTATATTTTTTCTTATGCAAAACTTAATTGATCCTCTGTTGTGTCCCCATGATTTGAACATACTTGATTCTACAATACCTAAGGTTGCTTCTTTATAAATATGACTAATAATGGCTTTGTGGTTCTTGAAAAGAAGATTTTAAAGATATTTCCTATGTGAAAGCATTTTATAGTAGAAAAGGATTTATCAAGAGAAAGTTTAAAAAATGTAATTAACTAAGCAGTAATTATTTAACAAAGATTGCATTGTTGTGTAAGGGGACAAGCGATTTTTCTTTTAAAAATAAATATTCAAATAAAAAGAATATTAATAAATACTGTGGTGGAAAGATGCATAAAACATTAAGAATAGAATGACAATTGAAAACGATTTTTTTTTTTACCAGATAAGTTTTTTATAATTGAATTTTTCAAATAAAAACAGATGGAGATAACCCTTACCAAAACTCAAGGTCATAAATTAGGACACATCCCACCCTTACATGCTAATAGTAATAAATGGGAATTATGTCTAACTATACTGCATAGGCGTCAGAACCGGGGGGGGGGGGCTAGGGGGGGGGGGGGCTTAGCCCCCCCCCCACTTTTTTTGCAAAGATAGACATAATATAGGCATTGAAAATTGGGGCTTACCTTTTTTCGTTGGTTTAGCCCCCCCCCACTTTCAATTAGCCCCCGCACTTTCAATTTGCTTCCGACGCCTATGTACTGAGTATTAAACACCTACATATCTGTCGTGTATTCAATTTTATTGAATCTGTTGATATTAGGAATGGTATACCTTAACTTCTCTATTGCTGATTCAGCATCCAACTTGTTCTGCTAGCTTCTGAATGCCTGACTTTCCCAAAGCTTTGGCTTATATACCCTTTTGTTTGGCTAGTCCATTCCAAGGGTTGCTAAGTCATTCCATTATTTCAGGTCTTCAATGCATTTTACTCGAATGCCCCTTAACCATTTCACCTAAATATTCCTATGAAAATCTCTGACCCACTGTTGTGGCCCTGCCCTATCCGTGGGGGTCTTGATTTGAACAAACTTGAATCTACACTACTTGAGGATACTTCTATATTAATATGACTAATAATGGCTTAGCTGTTCTTGAGATGAAGATTTTTAAAGATATTTCCAATATATTTCTATAGTGAACTTTGACCCCCTGTTGTGGCCCTGCCCTACTCCCAGGGGTCATGATTAGAACAAACTTGAA